AAACCCTAGTATAATGGTTAATAAAAGAAGCCAAGATCCAAAGGGAATACCTATGCTCATAATTTCTTTTCCCATTCCCTTAATTGTTTTTAAATAAAAATATCTGGTAAAACAAGGGCAAAGAATGGTTCTCCAGCATTGGCCACGCGTTTCATGCATGCTCCCTGTTTCTCTTGGTTAAATTATAACCTCTCAAGAGCTTTCATTTCTATTATAGCTCCCAGTATAGTGCCTTGTATACAACAGGCACTCAACAAATGTTTAGTAAATGATCGACTAATTCTCTGAATTATTTTTCCTTTTTATTACCTAGCTTTCAGATCCAACCGAAGACAAAATTTTGTATAATCAACAACCAACACATCCCAAAGTAAAATACAAAGTCGCTTTGGATTTAACTTGAGTTTGTAACAGTACCAGTATGCCAATTCATTTCTTGTGTTAACTTTCAAGAGGTCTAAAGAAAAACTCTGAAGCAAGGCATGGATGGTTGTAGTGGCTCTCGGAGCAAACAATCTTCTTTTGGAAGAGAAAGCTGAAGTGTGCTCTTCATCACAGATGCTTTTACTCTTTACATAATTAAAAATTGAAATTAAGAATGGTTTTCTAGCAGAAACTCTTCTCTCTGACAAGCTTCAAAATTCTGATGTGCTTGTATTTGATAAAACCAAATGTCAATCTTGAAAAAAAGCCAATTGAAATACAAAAGTAAAATGAACAAATACTTTTATTTAAGAGGACATATATGAATTTAAGAGGACATATATCTAGGTAAAGATAAATTTTGCTCATCTAATTTTGCTCTCACCTAAAACCCTTTCTAAATGTAATAAAGATGGGTGCCTGTAATTTAATTTTTAAAGAGAAACATTTACAAAGATGGGGAGAATGCAAGAAAAGTTGACTTTGGAAGCTTTAAAACACATGGACAAATGAGTAATTGATTTAGCAGACTCAAAAAACCAAATGCTCAACTAGCTGCTAGGAAAGTGGGAAATTTCGTTTACACAACAAAGTCTTCCAAAGGCTCGAGAATTAGCAGCACAAGTTACTTGAGGTGAGGGGAAGCAAAATAAGGAGACGCAGATAATATTAGGTCAGTATTCATTAGCTGATCCATTAGTAAACTGTAGTTACTTTTCTCCATTCTTATATTTTTATTTTCTTGGAGTTATTTCCTTAGTTTTTCATTATACTGCTCATCGGTAATTCAACCCCATCCTCCTTGCAGGGTAATAATTGCCAGCCCCTCACCCCCTATCACGGAGGACCGAAAAAAAAAGAGAGGTTTATGTTCTGGACAGAGTAAGATAAAAAGTATACCTAAACGAAGGACAATGAAATCACGTGGCAAGCGGGATCATTGGATACTGAGACAACTCCTTCACCTGCTTCTACCTCTTGATTTTCAGAAGGCTTTTAGTCCGGTCTTTACCTTCCAGGCAGATGTGGAATATGACCAGCCTAAGAGGAAAAACATGGATATCAAGATCAGGTATTACCCCCAAACAATCCAGTCACAGAATGGCTACAGAGAAGCTCAACATGCAAACAGAGCTTCGTGTTTCCAGTTTTCCACTCTTAACAATGAGCTAAAAACTCTAGGATATTAGATGCTGAAAAGAGCCTGTTAACATGAAGGATAAAAAATGGAATACACACTCAAACAGATAAAATCTACTTGAAATAATGAAACTACTCAAGGTGAAGAAAATGGTCATTAAAATTCTCAGAGAAATAAGAGAATATTGCATTCACGAAACTAGAATAAGATTGCTATAGAAGAGGAGCATTCAGAGGGAACGAAAGAGCTCTTACAAAATTAAAAAGTAAAAGCAGAAATAAAATTCAATAGAAATCGTGAAAGATAAATTTGGGGAAATACCAAACAAAGTAGGAAATCATAGAGGTAGAAAAATAGAAGAAAATTAGAGGACCTGATAGAGAGCATCTAAATAAGAGGAGTTACAGAGAGAAGAACAGATGAAATGGAGAGGAGGAAAATATTAATAAAACACTATTTTCCAGAACCAAAATCTCTAAGTTGCTAGACTAAATGGGGCACCCAGTGAAACAGATGAAAATAGACTCATACCAAAGCACATCACTGTAAAATTTCAGAACACTACAGACAAAAGGAAAAAAATACATACATGTCAAGAATCGGGAATCAAAGTACTTTTGAGCTTTTCAGTGATGGCATCCAAAGATAGAAGGTGACAAAACGATGCATTTAAAAACATTTCCACCCTAAAATTCTTTACCCTGCCAAACTATCAATCGAGTGTGAGGATAGTTAAAAATAATTTTCAGACTTGCTGATGACATTTCACGAAATTAATCCACCACGAACAATTTTTCTCAGAAAGATTAAAAAAAAAAAAAAAGACCACATTGCCCTCTGAGTGTGAAATAAAGGGGCAAAATAGAAAAAGGCAAGATATGAGATACAGGAACTAGAAGGCCCAACCCAGGAGAAAGGCGGAGGGGATTCTCAGGAAGATAATGACAAGCGTGTATCAGGCATGGACAGAGCGAGTCCACAGTGGACAAGTCAGAAGGCTCCAGGAGTGACATTTTCAAGAAAATGACATTGATAAATTTGCATAAACGTATTGAAAGATGATTTAAAAAACTAGCAGAGATTTTAGAGATGGATTGTTAATAAGCAGTATAAATGGAAATAAATAATAAATATTAACTCCAAGAGAATAAAAATACAGGAATGAAGAAAGGTAACTACAGTTTACTAATGAACCAAGTAACAAATATTGATCGAATCAAAATTACTACTATAATCACGTTGAGAGAATTGAGGGATAAGAGGCATATATGATATAATATATACAGAGTGTGGGGATGGGAAGGGTAGAGTGGAAAAAGAGCCTCGCTTTCCATAATGGTTAAAAATAAAAAATCAGCAACATACACATGCCATTTACTGACACGGAGCTAAAGGCCAAAAGAATCAGCCAAGAAGTTCAAAGTAATAGTCCCTGGGGAGCAAGAAATGGAGAAAAAGAGAATTGACAGCATTGTTGGTCTTTCAATTATACATGCATTTGCAACTGTCACAGAAAATTAAAACCTACAAAAAATACATCTCTCATGAGTAAAGAGTAACCAGTTTGAATGTCAAAAAATCAGAGAATTATAACCATTCTTCTAGAGTTAGAAACAAACAGGACTTTACACACACACACACACACACACACACACACACACACACACACACATATATCCAAAGCCTGGGGAACAAGCTGTCCTTGGATGATATGCTTTATTACATTCTTTTTTGTATACATTATGGCATGAAATATACTGTGGTAAAACAGTCCACTAAAATATAACATATAAATTGACTATTTAAAAGCCTATATGACAGAAAAAGTTGAAAACCGCATGATCTCTCTTATATGTGGGATATCAACCTGAAAGCAACAAATGAACAGAGACTCATGGACACGGACGATAGACTAGTGGTAACCAGAGGAGGGGAGGGAGGGGCGGCGGTAGACGGGGTAAAGGGGTCAAATATGTGGTGACAGAAAGAAATCTAACTCTGGGAGGTGAACACGCAATGCAATATACATATGCCTTACTGTTGAACTGTACACCTGAAACTGGATTTCGTTAACCAGTGTCACCAATAAAATAATAAATTTAAAAATTTTAAAAATAAAAGCCTACATTTTCAATTTTTACAAGGTACATATATTTCTACATTCATACATATAAAGATCTAACTTAAACAAAAGGAAACTTTCTAGTCAATCTTATTTAATTCATTATAAAACTGCTTCTACTTACTGCCACGTTTACTTAGTGTCAACTCAAACCATTTTCCTTAACGCACACACTACCAACTCTACTCTAACAAGAAACGGGGACTCAAAATCACTGACCTACAATCACATGCAATTCAGATTATAGTATGGTGCTACACTAACATGACATCTACATAAAAATATTTTACAAACTCCTAGAATAGGCTATCAATTTGTAATATCTTATTCTTATCTCGCTCAATGCTCAGGCTTATTCTTCACAGTCTACTTATACTGGACCTTAAAACACTGCGCAAAACATCACATAGAAGTAAATACAAGGCACCGCATTAAAAATAAGCACGAAAATATTTTTCTGATGGGGGGAGACATTCTCTGCTCAAAGGGTTAATGCCACTGCGCCGTGCCCTCCAGGCATGAGTGCTCGGGTAGGAAGATAAAGGGAACACGGGTCCCCCACATCAGGAGTCTTTGCATGAAATGTCAAACGCTGTCCAAATACGAGAAAACTCTGATTCCATGCATCCAGATGACAACCCCGCATAGAAAAGCCTAATGATTTAACAGTTTTAGAAATTTAGAAAATCCAAAGCGGTACTATCCCAGTGAGCGCAGCGAATTATATCCTATCCAAAATGAGAGATTATTTTAGGCTTTAATCTCACATTTCTTATCTGTAAGACTTCCCAGTTTTAAGAAACTTAAGGAATGTGCAATATGTTCAAAGTGGTGAAAGAGCACTCTAAATAGAGGAAATGACAATTAAACACTGGTACTATTTTATCTCTGTCTCACTGCGAATTTCCCTGTGGCAAGCGTAAACACTAGACACAGCTGGATGTCCTTGCTAGCCCTTCATTTCTAGCAGGTAAAGACTGAGCTGGATACTGTCTTTGGAGAATGCTGGCAACAAAATGAGCTAACGACATGGGAATTTGTGTCTTTCGTAATTTTTAAAAGGTTACATGAAGATATTGCTTGAAATACTGCAGAATGTTTTACAAGTCATTTTCTATAATGATAGCTTCCTGCTTTAACAGAACTTTCTTTATATGCTTTGGCTTGATAGGATGGCATCAATGGTGTAGTTGACATGTAGACTTAGTGAAAAGAGCCATCCAGTGGCCTATCACTCGCCTGCACTCATTTCAATATAGGCGGCCCTGGCCGACTTCGTCAGGGGATCAAGCCTGTCTGTCTTCATCTCTCCTCACCTCTGAGTTCCACAGCAATCTTCTCCACTTCAGGGCCCTTATTCCTATTCTTATCTCCATATTCTTCAATATGCTCGAACTTCCCTGGTTCTCCAAAATGCAACGAGGTCCCAAATATTGCTGCACCATTGTATTACTTGCCCTTTCTTGGGTTTCTCTCACATTCCCTATTTCAAACATTTCGTACACTAAGTTGTCGGCAGATGATTTTGTCAGAAGAGAAAGGAAAAGAGAGGCTATCGTTTATCATTTATTGAGATTCCCCTCCACCTGTAGAATCAAATATATCAGCACCATTCCCTACTTCTTCTCAAACCTCAGAAGAAACTGTGCCCCTCCTCCTCTACGATGACTCAAGCTCCACCCCCCGCCCCCCACCGCGCACCCCCTCAGCACCCTGCTGTGAGGCAGCGCCTCATGAGTTATCCCTCTCCTCGCCTGTAACTTCAATCTGTTTTTTCTTCACTTGATGCTTCCACATTCATAAATATGCTAACATCTTCCTCATCCTTTAGTAACAAATTTTTGAAAGCCCTATTTTGAATCCTGCTTCCCTTTTAAGTCATAGCCTTATTCATCTCATCCCCCCGCCCCCGCCACCCCCCCACCACACACACACACACACACAGACACACACACACACACACAGACACACACACACACACACAGACACACACACACACACACAGAAAGCTTCTCTAAGGAGCAGTTAGAACCAGCCATCACTTCACTTCCCCAGGTCTCCACCCTTCCCACGGCAGCCACCGCTGTCTGGCCTCCCTGGCCACTGCTCTCCTCCAACCTCTTGAATGAATTTAGGCGCGACCTTACTGAAAAGTCAATCACATGTTCTGTCCTCACCCTGACTGCAGACAGACCATCACCGCTGATGGTGGTCCTCGGGTTTTCATTCTTTTCTCGAGTGATCTCGTCCACATCTAGGACTTCAACTAGTTTTTATACGAATATGATTTCCACGTCTTAGTTACAGCTCTCACCTTTCTCTGACTACCTTCTTAACATACTTCCCCTGGGAGTCCCCAGGGTGGTGTCTTTAATTAACCATTTTCAAAACTACTCACCCTAACCAAGCCTACTCCTCCTACTATAGATTCTGGTTCCCGTTATTATGACATCACCATTCACCCATTCTCCCAAGCTTAACATATCAGAATCATCTGGTTTTTCTCTTCTCCCTAACCTCCAGAAGTCTCGTTTTTCTCTAAATCTTTTCATTCTTCTTTCCTGCTTCATAAAACTCTCAAATCCATCCTTACCATAATTTCTACTCTCCAACCTTTAGTTTACAGTTTTGATCTTCTTTTGCTCAACTTATTTTAAAAACTGCTTAATTGGTATATTACTCCCCAATCTTTCTCCACCGGAGTCCCTGCTCCATACTATGTCCAGAAGTATTCTGGCTAATGTGCAGAACTCAGCCGGAGAAAAGTGAGATTTACAG